ATATAGTTGAAGAAGCAATTGCATTATTTTCATAAAATAATCCACAGTGACCTCTCTTCAAGTCTCAGAGTGATGGGAGTCTCATATTATAGGGGTTAAGAAAAATAACGGTAATATATCCGTTTTAAATAGGTATGTATCTGGTCCAATATTTTGAAGTTTCATTCATACGAGTGTAGTCCTCAAGAGGATAATTCAAATTACAAACATGTTCTCTTGTTATCTCCATATTCAAATGCCCCATCAAAATTAATTCAAAGACAATTGTATATCCATATTTTAAGCCCCAAACGAAAGATAAAAGAACATACAGAGAAGAATTATGGGCATAACTCAAATAATTCTTCATATCTCAAGGGCAGCTGTGGTTAGAATATTAACTTGCAACTTTCAAATGCCTCATTAAGTAAAACGAACTGATTCAATTTAAATGTCTTCAGCTCCAACAAGAACAATATAACAAAATGTAACAAAGAAAAAAAAAAAAGACTTTGCAATTAATCTTCAAATTGGCTTAAGCTAAATGGGCATTCCTCACTCATCAAATGTTCATGCAAGTATATTTTCAAAGGATTTATGAAAACTTACACGACAGTAAAATGCGGAAACAGATGATTTAGGATTGTGGAGCTCTGTGATTCTCTCATCAAGAGATCTCCTCCTCCTACTATACCATTTTTGCGGCCTTGGGGGCTCAGGACCACAGTTGGGTTGCAAAATATGATAAGTATCAATTCCACTAGTACACTGCAAATGTGCTTAATAAAGTTTGATCAACAAGGAGTTTACTCTGAAGAAAGTAATGAAAGGGTTTGCAAAAATAAAAACATGAGTCAACCTGATCAAAAGCTTCAACAAATCGGATACACTCTGTATTGCTTGGATCTGCATTAAAATACTTTCCTTCACAACTCCTCTTAAGCGACTGTTGAAAGGAAAGAAGACATAGTCCATTCAATTTCATAGCCAGTGAAGTTAACAACATTCCTACACAATCTCTGAGATAGTTGTGTAGGAGAGGGAAAGGATTTTATAACACTAACCTCGTAGAGTTCATCCGAAATAAGTCCCATTCCATGAGCAAATGGGATCTGAAAGTTGTTTTCATATGGAAATGTTGCAGCGTTTCCAAGCATGTATCCCTAAAACCATTTCAAAAAGGTTAAGCGAAAAGCCTATTCAAACACTAGTTTCTCAAAATAAAGAAGGATTTCAAGAATAGCAAACCTGGAGATTAACAAATGGTTCAATGCCTGCTTCATTTCCTGCATAACAACAAGATTACAGTTTACCAAACATAAAGTAGAGTTATAATTTAGACACCATTCTTAGTAGTCTTACCATTTGAAATTAGTTGAGTGATAATTGGAATAGTTATTCCAGTGTACGATTCTCCCCCCACATAGAATGGGTTTGAAAAGAATTCAGGATGATCAATCAACCACTATAAGAAAAAAAATTGGTATTTAGTTGAGAATTACGTTGCATTATTCTATTTATAGGCACAAGTAGGAGGATTTGCATGAATAAATATATCTGGACCTCAAACCTTCATGTCTATCATTAAGAAGATACAGTAAGTTTAAACCATATTAAAGGAATAGTTCACAAAGTACCTTTCTTAGAAATTCATAGGCTTGGTGGCATGATTGAATGTCTGTAGACCCAGAAGCAAGTGGAGTCCTTCCATAGGAGAATCCACTACCAACGGGCAAATCTACAAAAATTATGCTTGCCACCTGAGGATTTCATTGTGACAAAAAAAAAAACTGAGGATTTAATTGCCCTGGACCATCCAAATTCAGATCAGTTGCTATGATAACAATTGCTTAATATGTTATCTGGTGCAAACGACTTTCGTCTACAACTGAGTATAAGAAATTAATACTAAAATATCTTTTCTCATTCTCGAAAGACCGATAATCTTGTACTAAGCAAAGCAATATGTTTCGACCGCCTTAACTATATAACCTTTATTTTATATTAGATTCAGATTCTTTGATAATGAACGTTAGCCACACAATTATTATGTCACTTTATTTTATCTCAAAATTCAATGACACCAACATAATAGACTTTTTGTCTTTGAGCTAGGTAGCGTAACATTAATTCAGGACAATTTGAAAAACATAATAGTTGAGATCGGGACCATAGTTAACAAAGTGTAATTCGCCATGACATGTATAGACTTGACCTTGGTCCATGAATTTGCATTTAACACCAACGTGGGCAAGCTCCCATTATACTCCACTGCCTCGAAATACAGCGGACCTGCACAGTTAGATTAATAAACAACCTGATCATATCAACTACTATAATACACAGGACACTTGATGGACTCCATCCAATGAAAATCAAGATGAGGTTCGAATTTGTGACCTTAAAGTTTAACTACAGAGGAGCGGTGACCATTAGACAATGCACCAACCTCTTCAATTTAACCACTAAGAATACATAAATTCGGATATGGCCCAATGTTTCTTCCTTTTATAGCCAATATTTGACCAAAATATACTATCTTGAACCATATGAAATCTATCACTGTAGACGGAAGCAGAACATGAGAAACAATGATGTTCCACAATGTGAGATAAAAGCATAACTGAGGTGTCAAAGTACTATTTCCAAAGATTAATCAGTCACATCCTTGTATGAATATTAGTTTCTTTGTAAAATGTCCTGTCCTGTCCTGTCCTGTGAGATTATTTAACAAAATTACCTATTTCGTAGATGAATCCACTTAAAGCAGAGCAGCCGTGGCCTCCGTTGAGCCAAAGAATGAGAGGGTCTTCTTTAGGATTTCTTTCCGACTTCACAAAGTAGTAGAAGAGTTGGACATCTTCTGATTCATCCACCCCTACATACCTGGTACACTTGGCATGATAAAATTTTATGTGCCGTTTTGTAATTTTTTTTTTTTTTTAACTTTTTGAAGTAAAATACCAATTCCCCCCCCCCCCACCCCCCCAAAAAAAAATGAAAGTATGTTCAATTACTATTCTGAAAAAAGTGATTTCGATTTATCATTATATGAAATAATATGTTTATATATGTATCGAAGCATGAATAGGACTCAAAGTTCGTGAATTCATCTATCTCAAATGCGAAAAAGCAGAATAAAAAAAGAGTCAATTGAGCTAAAAAATGTTATACCTAAAATTTTACTCAAATCAAGGGAGATTCAACCCTTTACTTATATCATCAATGATTAGATTTCATTTTTTTTTTATTTAAATCTAATGATTATATTTTATTCTCTTTTAAATTTGATTTTGTTTTCATTTAAATTTAGATTTTGTTTTCTTTCATCTTTGAGTTTACCCATTGATGATGTTTTGCATCAAATCAATAATTTTACTTAAATTTGAGTGAAAAATTGAATCAAGATTGAGATGAACTAAGAGCTCTAGTGGGCAATGACACTATTACTTTATTTATACTAGTTGACTAACAAGTTTGCAACTCTATGTTGATAGGTAAAAGGAAAATCCCGGAAGAAGAATACTTCAACTATTCCCATAAAAAGGGACAAATCAAATGCTGAATCTACTCTTACAAGGGGAAAAAAAAAGGAAATAAAATGAAAAAATAAACATTACTAAAAAAAAATAAAAAAATTAATACCAAATAGTAACTTTTTTTTTTTTTTTGATCAAGACCAAATAGTACCTTAATCGATGAAAATATTACTGCATAAAAACTGAGAAGTAACACAGCAAAGATGAAAATATTACTGCATAAAAACTGAGAAGTAACACAGCAAAGAAATAGGATGTCCTACTGAGCCTGACTCACCCGGTTTCGAGTTGAAAAGGAAGGGGTCCTTGAAATCCTGGAAGAAACTCCACTCTTGAGTGAGAAACTGAAGGGTCTGAGTATGAACAGACTTGTGAAATTTGAATAACCAAAAACAGAGTGCAGAGAATTAAAGTGTGCTCGGTGGCCTTTGAATGTGATAATGCCATTTTCTTTGCCATGGTATGTGTTTAAACTTTAATGGAAGCAAGTTTATGTATTGGACGGTTGGCTCCAAAGTCTTTGACCGGTGGATTTTCCGAGATCTCCAAGATTTCCAGCGCACTCCATCTTTCACGAACAACGACATAAATTAAAGAACGAAAAAAATATTGTATACACCATCGTTGACGAATAAATAGATTAAAGAACAAGAAAATATTACATAGTTTGTAGGTATCAAAGTGACACTCACATGCAGTGTTTTAAAACTCGATCCGGTCCGGTGGGTTAATCCGGTGAACCGGTCCTTAAATTGGGCCGGATCTATTAAAAGATCGTTTATGTATGAAACCTAGGATAAACCTGATGAACCGGCTAAAACTCGATAAACTCGTGAGAATCGAACGAATTCAGAAAATCGGCCGATTTAATTACATTTCTATAAAATTGAGATTTTTTTTTAACTTTTGGGCATTTCCCCTTTTGTTTTGCCCTAAATCGTTCCACACCAGCGGTCCAGATTAGCAACCACAGCCTCCACTCCACCACTCCAGCAACGATCAGCCAACGACCAACCTCCACTCCAATGAGTTTCCCTCTCTCTCTTTTTCCCCTTTTTTCTCTGTCTCTTTTGCGCTTCAATCCATGAAGGGAAGGTTGGGGATTCAAGTGGAAAGGTTGTATCCATCATGGATTGGTGGGTGGAACCATGTATCTCAAAGAAGATTAACATTTAGAAACTATATTGTTCTTTGGACTATTTCAGAAGGCTGAAAATGCCACCATGTAATTTGAGAATTTTTGATGCAGAAGTAGGTGTAGGAAAATCTTGCTACTATCATACAATGTCAATATTTGTAAGATGAGCAAATAATTAGGAAATTGAACAATTTTTGTGTTGGTTGTCCTGTACGATCTATGGGAGCAGGCATAGAGGAGGGCCATGACCTTTTGTTTATAAAAAAAAAATTTACATGCAATCCCTTGAAATTGTATACCTTGGCCTACACAAAGGATTTGTCATTTTGAGAATCCTCCTGATCTTGTGGACACTCGAAATGAGAAATGTAATTAGGGAGGTGTTGACAATGTAACTACAAGTAATGCTGAAAAATTCAATTGTCCCGGAGTTGAGAATCCTCCTGAGTTTGGCAGGGATTAGAGTTCATAGAGTAGGAGCCCTCGTTGAGAAAAAGAGAATGAATAGATTTGTTTATTACATTACTTTTATGATGAGTTTTTACTTTTATGAACATTGTTATTTAATATTTGAGGTTTTGTACTTGTAACTTATGGATTGTGGTATTGTACTTTTCATTTGTGTGTTTTATGCTTGTTTAAGATTGTGAACTTGTGGATTATTTATTATGGTAAGAGCATTATGAATTATGATATTGAACTTGTGGCTTGTTCGAGATTCTTATTGTTTATTATATATAATTGGGTTATAGATTAATTAATTGATAGTAGTGGTAATATTTGTATTTTTAAGTGAAACTACGCTGTGGTTGAATAATTTATTTTCAGTTTCGTTTATTTGAGTTTTTATGTTATGCTCGTGTGCTTTATTTTGTTTTCATGTGTCTTTCTTACTACAGTTTGAGAGTATGAAGTTTGAACTTTGAATTTTAAAGAGTACAAATTACATGGATTATGCTTAGATTGATACATTGTGGAAGAGTTGGACTGAGACTTGGAGCCTTGAATTTCAATATAAGTATTTTTCTCTACTTAATTTTACATGTTGTATTGAAAATTGAATACATTGAAATTGGATACATATTTGATGATTTTTCTCTACTTAACTTTATATGTTTGATGTTATTTTTATAATTATTGTGATTTTTTTAACTTATTTATTATTATTTATAATTATTTATTATTTATTATTATATTACCGGTCCGATCAGTGATCCAACGGTTGAACCAGTGATCTATTGATCCGGTCCCTTCACCGGATTAATGTCCAAATTTTAAAACTATGCTGACATGTGGTACTCGACACTAATAATAAATTGGGCACGAATGCAATTATGTGACTGATGAAGGAGATTCTCGGACTGTTGTTCATGCAGCCATGCTAAACATTATTACACCAAATTGGTCCACTGCGACGATTATACGAGATCTTAAAGTAGTGGTGGTACTGAACTGAACCACTGGGAATGGAGTATGAACCATGTGTATAGGACTGCCAACAATGCTGCACATTCATTGAAACTGATGGAATACCTAAGCAAATTCCATAGTTCCCTTTAACAATTTTTCAGCTTGCAGATATTGAATTCTTGCACACGAGTTTTGGTCACAAGCTAATTTCAGTAGAAAGATGATGGCCAAGGGCTTAAATTGTTGCCAGTGTTTATCCGTCCGCTTTCCAATATATGATGGATTCGAGTCCGAGAATTATCAGTTTTGTTTTATTTTCTTTACCCGGTTGAGTATCTCGGTGGTGCATCTCATCTCTAGACAAGTGCTCCCTCATTTAATGCCACTCACCTTACTCGTTTTACTTTCTAGACAAGTGCATGTGTGTGTGTTGCATGCGTAGATCTACAGGTGGTCCATGTTTTTTTATTTAACAAAATTGGAACAATAGTATACAAAAATTACTTTTTGATATACATTTGAATCGTGACGGCCACCAACCACTAGCTCCATCCAATAAAAGAAAATAATTCATGAACATGGACTCTTGCAATGACATTTGTCATCCATAGACTCTAGAAAATAGTTTTGGACACCATACCATTCGTAGACGAGCAACGTTATTGTGACTTAATTTAGTGATTTAATTTGCTGGCATAATTTACTATAACTTTTAAATTAATTATGGATTTCATCAAATATTAGAACTTGGTGTTTATCCAATAATTTTAATGAAGTCACGTCATTAGGTCAACAAATTATATCTATTTTTTAGGTCCAAATAACATTTTCTTTTTTAGACTTAAAGAAAAATATAAAGCAACCAAACAAATGAAGATACCATCTCATCATACAACCAAATAACACATCTTCCAATGATTATCAACTCCGACAATGTTGTACGAATCATGTTATATTTGCTTGTTTGGTAGATAGTGTTAAAAACTATAACATCTTCAAAACAATCATAATCTAATTTTGATTAACGATTCTTCCAAAAAAAAAAAGTCAGGCATTCGATTCTCCTCGTCAACTTGTACAGGTAAAAAAATTTTGCTCGATCACTTGATTGTGCTTAAAATAATTTATTAAACTCTGTCATCACCGGATGCAAAACACAATGCTCGCTCTTAATCTGACCAATTGCAATGTTTGTATGTATTGGAGCGAATAGAATACACATTTTGCTAATCTCGAAAATATTATGTCCTTGAGTAATGTTAGACTGATCAAAATTTGGGACCAAATTTAGAGTCTAAATAACATAATAGTTGATTATTTGAAGTATTTATTGGAGCCCAAATGACATGACACCAATGAAATATAAATGACAGGTTGTCTTTAATGGGCTTATAAATGATCCAACAATAAAAGAAATATCTGTTTTTTGAAACCGTAAGATCATATAAATTGGGGGTACTGAACATATAATTTACAATTAAAAAAAAATGAAGTTGGGAATCAAAAATCACTTTTATATAATCTTTGCATCAAATTTCTTCCCATTTGGAAAATTAGTTGTTCAATTCAACTCATCATTATCTTGTCGCAGTTACTTGGGAGTAAAGTGTTTTTGTAAAGAGAAATAGTGAATAGAGTGTTTAATGATTTGTTTGGCATGATTGAAAAGTGAATGGATGAAAAGTCTGTAGCCCATGATTGACCCAAGAAGTAGGCTTGGTTGTATCTGGCCCATTGAAATACTGGACCAGATCCGACCATAGTCATTTTCTGGAAAAAAATATTCATTACAACGGTGATAGCATGTTAATATTGTCATGTTGTATCACTAATTAATAATATGTAGACAAATAAGGAAGTAGGTTCCGCACAAGCCAATAATTATCCATCCATGACCCTTAATCCTAAATGTTCCATAAATTTATGTTTTGTCTTGAAATGTAATTCTTGGCCAAATTCCAGCATCATCGAATAGGATGCGAATTCAGAATTCTGATTAAAAAAAATAAAGAATGTGCGACATTGGCATCCCGACATTTTCATTTGTTTTATTTGTTAGTCCCAACATACATTAGCATGCAATGTCACTTGAGAATGTTCCAACTAGTCATTCAAATTTCGGTTTATGTCTACAGTTGCTAAAATGGACAAAATATAGAAATATTTTTGAAAGTACTTTTTATATTTGAAGGACTTTTACTGAAGTAAGAATACAACAAAACTATCTGTTGCAATACTCTGAACTTCGAGCTTGAGATTGATTACAGAGGTTCATGAGATATCCACCTTTTGAACATAGCTGCACATTCTTCGGGTTTATACTCTGGAGCTGTGTGGCCTCCTCCCTAAAAGAAGAATGCGTCAATTCTCACAAAAAGAAGTCAAAAGGGGAAAAAAATCTTATCTTTCTCAAACTTAAAAAGAGAAGTGATTTCTTGCCTTCACTGTTGCAAATGTCATCTTATTGGAGTAAACCCTCGTATAGCTGCACATTGCCAATGACAAAATTTCCATTACTCAGCTATTCTAAAAAACATAATCTCATAAAGTGTAGTTCAATGTATGAGATTTTTGTCTTTGTGGGTGGTGAGATATGCATAGTTTTTACTTACATATGAAGAAACTATTTTCGTAACTTGAATTTCTATCACTCAAATTACATATAATAACCTAACAACTACGCCAAAATTCACCATTGATCATAAGATATATCAAAGAATTTTTTTTTGAATACCCACCCGGCAATTTGGCCATTGAATAACCAAGATCGCCATTCTTCAATAACTGGGTAGTTTAGAGATCTTATCCATGCTTGTGTGGACTGGAATGGAATAATCATGTCGTGATCACCGCTGTATCAACAAACAAAAACTTCACTATATATAATTATCTACATGCGTGTGCATCTCAACTTAATAAAGCATTTTTTTTTTCTAAACTTATGGATAAAATATAGCACAAATCTTATTGAATGAAGTATAGTAATATGACCTGTATATCAAAGACCGATAACCTTTAGTGCTGAGATTTATGTGATAAGGTATACTGTCTCCGATCAGAGTTTGCTCATATGGTAAATTAGAGGCGCACCTCTCCCATTCCCCTATGCTCCCCTATGTCAAAAAATTTTACAGTTCATTTCATAGTTGTTCTGACACTAAATATGATCTTCAAAAGCAATGATATGGACATACCTTTTGGATATGGAGTGCTTCTTGGACATTTTTATCATTACACCAATGATAAGAAAGCTTATATCCATCAATCTACAGTCATGGAAGATATATTTGTAAAATAGTTGAAGAAGCAATTACATTATTTTCACGAAATAATCCACACTAATCTCTTCAGACCCCAAAACAAAAGATAAAAGAATAGATAGAGAAGAATTATGGGCATAACTCAATATAAATCTTCATATCTCAATCACGGCCATGGTTAGAATATAGGGGTGCAACGAGATTAATCATAACTCAATCTTAGGTATAAAATTTTTAACCCTACCTCAATCCAAGTATTCCCGAGTTGATTTCAGGCAACTTTGGATTGAATTCGTGTTACTTAATTCGAATTCAACAAACAATAATCCTAAATTTAGTGTGAACATGTGCACAATGTTGGACTAATATGGAAGTGGGGAGAGGTCAATTGAGTTGTGGGATGAAAACTCTTTGTCTTTCTTTTTGCCTTTTTTACTCGTCCGACATCGGTTGTATAAACTTCTTTTACCACTTATAATCTTTATAAATCATATTTCACTCTTTATTTAATAATAATAAATAATAATTACAAAATATGTATTTATTTTTATTTTATATTATTCATATAAATATAATACATGAATTTGAGTTGAACTCAAGTTAGATTTGGGTTAAACCTGTGAATCCCGAACTCTTAACTCCAGCTTTAGTCGAATTTAATTTAGGTTGAAGTTTTTCAATTCTAAACCTAAAAACTTTAACCCTAATATTATTTTTTTCAGGTTGGATTCGGGTTGACCCACCCAAATTGCACCCTTATTAGAATATTACCTTGCAACTTTCAAATGCCTCATTGAGTATAATGACCTAATTCAATTTAAACGTCCTAAACTCCAACAAGAACAATATAACAAAACAAAGAAAAGGTAAAAAAAAAAAAAAAAGACTTTGCAATTATTCTTCAATTGGCCTAGCTAAATAGGCATTCCTCACTCATCAGTATGTTCATTCAAGTATGTGTTCGAAGGATTTAAGAAGACTTACACGACAGTAAAATGCGGACACGGATGATTTAGGATTGTGGAGCTCTATGATTCTCTCATCAAGAGATCTCCTCCTACCAAACCATTCGTGCAGCCTTGGGGAATCGGTACCACAGTTGGGTTCCAAAATATGATAAGTATTAATTCCACCAGTACACTGCAAATGTGGTTAATGAAATTTATCAGTAAGGCGATTACCCTCAAAGTAATGAAAGGGTTTGCAAAAACAAAAACAAAAACAGAAGCCAACCTGATCAAAAGCTTCAACAAATCGCATACACTCTTTATTGCTTGGATCTGCATTAAAATACTTTCCTCCACAACTCCTCTTAAGTGACTGTTGAAAGGAAAGAAAACATAGACCATTCATTTTCTTAGCCAATGAAATTAACATTCCAACACAATCTCTCAGATAGTTTTGATGGAAAGGAAAAGGGAAAGGTAGAGGATTTTATGAATTGAACTGACCTCGTAGAGTTCTTCCGAAATAAGTCCCATTCCATGAGCAAATGGGATTTTAAAATTGTTTTCAGACGGAAATGTTGCAGCGTTTCCAAGTATGTATCCCTGAAATCATTTCAGAAGAAAATAAAAAAACTACTAAGCAATTTCAGGCATCATAAAAACTAGTTTCTCAAGATGAAGAAGGATTTCAAGAATAGCAAACCTGGAGATTAACAAATGGTTCAATGCCTGCTTCATTTCCTGCATAGCAACAAGGTTATGGTTTACCAAACATGAAGTCCAATAATATTTCAAATACCATTCTTAATAGCCCTACCATTTGAAATCAGTTGAGTGACAATTGGAACAGTTCTTCCTGTGTACGATTCTCCCCCCACATAGAATGGGTTTGAAAAGAACTCGGGATGATCAATCAGCCACTGCAAAAAAATAAATTGTTCTTTAGTTGAGAATTACACTATAAAATCATATTTTGTTTTAGAATTTTTTTCTTCACTGCACTATTTTTGTTGAAGTATAAATGCTTAAATTACACACTATTCAACAATTTAAATTTTTGGAGCAAATGGTTGTTTAGCATAGTATCAAAGTAAGAGATCATGTATTCGAATCTCGCTGCCACCTCTTTTATTAAAAGAGTTTTCACATGCTAGGCCCAAAATCTATCCTGAACGTATGGCTATTAGCCGAATGAGTTCGAGTCAAGCCTAAAAGGCTTGTTTTTTTTCATTGAGCCTAAAAATTGTTTAAATTCGGCTCGTTTAAAAAACGAGCTGAGCCTGAACGAGCTCAAACGAGCTGAGCTCGAGTATTTGAATATAAACGAGTCGAGCCTGTCATGCTTGTTTTCTAAATGAGTCTAAAAACTTGTTTAGGTTTGAACTTATTTAAAAAACGAACCGAGCCTGAACAAGTCGAACTCAAGCCAAATTCAAGTAGTTCAATTCGATTAACAACCCTACCTACACGTGAAGGGACGTATTGAAATATAAATAATAGGTAAGTTACATCATCTTTAACAATTTTATTTATAGGGACAAGTAGGAGGATTTACATGGATAAATATATTCAAACCTCAATCCTTCATTTCTATAACTGCTAAGAAACAGTAAGTTTAAACCATATTAAATGAACAGCTCACAAAGTACCTTTCTTAGAAATTCATAGGCTTGGTGGATTGATTGAATGTCTGTAGACTGAGAAGCAAGTGGAGTCCTTCCATAGGAGAATCCACTACCAACAGGCAAATCTACAAAAATTATGCTCGCCACCTGATGAGTTCATTGTGTCACTTTACTTTATCTGAAAATTCAATGACACCAACCGTAAGGGATAGAAATCGCTACGGATCTCATCCCTCCACTTGAAGGATTCTGGCTGACCTGACGGCACCGAACCCCAGTAGCCTTTACCTCTCTTCGCCAATAGGACCCTTTCCTAAGGCAATCCCACATCGGAAGAGAGTCGTCTTCCCCTCTGTCATATAAGTGAACACTTCCTATGGAAGAGGTACCCACTAGCGACCTGATCAGGTGCTTAGTGGGTACCTCCTCCATAGGAAGTGTTCACTTATATGGCAGGGGGGAAGACGACTCTTTTCCGATGTAGGATTGCCTTAGGAAAGTTTCTATTAGCGAAGAGAGGTAAAGGCTACTGGGGCTCGGTGGGTGCAAAGTGTAATTCGCCATGACATGTATAGACTTCACCTTGGTCCATGAGTTTGCATTTGACACCAACGTGGGCAAGCCCCCATTATACTCCACTGCCTCGAAATACAGCGGACCTGCACAGTCAGATTAATAAATAACCTTATCATATAGCAACTACTGCTACTATAATACACTGGACACTTGATGGACTTCATCCAATGAGAATGAAGCTTTTTTTTCAATTATCTTTTTTTTTTAATCAAACATTGTTATTGGGAAGAAAATGACGGGATTCGAACCTGTGACTTTAAGGTCTAACAACGGGAACGGTTTTGAAACAAAAATAAAACAAAATTGCATATTTCAAATTAAAATGACGCAACTTTTTGTCTAATTTGAAACAAACTTTCATAATTAGGATAATATGCAACCAATAACTAGAGACAGAGGTAGAATAAAAGAAGCATGTGTCCACAATATGAGATAAGCGTCAAAGTACAATTTCGAAAGATTAATCAGTCATATCCTTGTATGAATATAAGTTTCTTAATTAAAAACTGTCTTGCTATGTGAGATTATTTGACAAAATTACCTATTTCGTAGACGACTCCACTTAACGCAGAGCAGCCGGGGCCTCCGTTGAGCCAAAGAATGAGAGGGTCCTCTTTAGGATTTGTCTCCGACTTCACAAAGTAATAGAAGAGTTGGACATCTTCTGATTCATCCACCCCTACATACCTGGTACATTTGGCATGATAAAAATTTTATGTACCGTTTTGTAATTTTTTTTTTTTTTTGAATCCTATTCTCAAAAAAGTGATTTGGATTTATCATTATATGAAAAAAAATCTATATAATAAAGTAGAAAGATTTTTTTGGGGGTCAAATATAAAGCACATAGATTGAAGAAATAAAAAATAATTTTTATTTTTTATGGTTGAGATCGATTTAAATTTTAATTTTAAAGTTAATTCGATAACTAGTATTAACTCCTCAAATTTAATAGGAAAAATAAACCCTCTAAAAGTATGTTTGGAACAACTTATTTTAATTATTTCTAAATAAGACAAAGGTAGCTTTACCCCTTAAATAAGTAAGAAAAAGTAAAAAAAAATAAAATAACTTTCACTTCTTTAAAATCAATTTCTCTACAAAATATTTCACCACCACCATCGTCATCCTTAATCCACCACCACCACCCCCTACCACCATCATCACCATCACCAACACCCCACTACCATCTCCACCACAACCACCACTATCGTCACCACTCACCACTAATATCACTGTCGTCACCCATTACTAATTGTTACCACCGTCGTCCCTTGTCAGCAATCAACATCATTATCTCATTCTTATATTTATTATCACTACCACCATTATCCCACCACCACTATTGTCCACCGTCACTATCCACTACCACAACCCACCACCACAACTTACCACCATCCGTCCACCATCGCCATTCACCACAATCTACCACCATCGTCACCCACAACTACAAGCACCAGTCGTCATCTATCAACACTCACACCCACCACCACTATTGTCACCATCCACCACCACAACTCATCACCGCCACTGCCAACTACTATCACCGTTGTACACCACCATCGTGCATCACTTATGGCTGTCATTGCCACCATTGTCTTTCAAAACCCACCACCACCATAACCGTTGCCATCAACAATTACAACCACCACCACCACCATAATTGTTGACATTCACCACAATAATCACCATCTCTCACCACCATCACTGTCACCCACCACCACTACGAATGCTCACTCCGATTACAATCGGTGTTTAAATTCCTTTCTTTTTTCTTTATATTTGTAATTTGATTTTGTGTGTAAATACAAATATATTTATGATTGATAACTTTTTCTATTATTTTATACCATCAAGTATGGACAATAACCGGTATGTTTTTATAAGATGACTCAAAATTCATTAACTTAACTATCTCAAATAAAAAAAAAATGAATCAAAAAGGGTTTAGACATTATTGACCATTAATTAGTAGTTCTGGTGGGCAACGAAACTAAAGCTTTTATACTGATCCAGTAATAACTTACACAGTTAAGTTGCAACTCTAAGGTTGATAGGAAAAAGGAAAATTCCCAAAGAAGAAGACTTCAACTATTCTAATAAAAAGGGACAAATCAAATGCTTCATAGATGAGCCCCGTGTCTTGTTCTACTCCAACTCGCCCGGAGATTTAAGAGCAGTTTACCCTTCACCGCCCCAACCCCCATTACTTAACAGAAATGGAGTCAACTCACAAACTTAGTGCCAAATAAATATTACCTTAATGGATGAAAAAATTACTGCATAGAAACTGAGAAGGAACACAGCAAAGAAATATGAACTCGTCGTTACTCACCCGGTTTCGAGTTGAAAAGGAAGGGGTCCTTGAAATCCTGGAAGAAACTCTACTCTTGAGTGAGAAACTGCAGGCTCCGAGTCTGAACACACTTGTAAAATCTGAATAACCAAAAATAGAGTCCAGAAAATTGAAGCTTGCTCGGCCTTTGAATGTGATAATGCCATTTTCCTTGTCATGGTGAGTGTTTAAACTTTAATAGAAGCAAGTTTCTGTAATGGTTAACGGACGGTTGGCTCCAAATTCCGAAGTCTTTGACCGGTGGATTTTCCAAGATCTGTAGAAGATTCCTTCGTCCAAGATTTCCAGCGCACTCCATCTTTCACGAACAACAAGATAAAAGAACGAAAAAATAATTACATGCACCATCGTTGATATTGCATACTTTGTAGGTACCAAAGTTACACTCACTAATAATAAATTGGGCACATTAAAAGAAATGGAATTATGCGAATCTTGCAGGAGATTCTCGGACTGTTGTTCATTCAGCCATGCTAAACAATATTACCACAAATTGGTCCATTGCGATGATTATACAAGACAAGATCTTAAAGAACTGCTACTGAATCACTGGGAATAGAGTATGAACCATGTGTATAGGAATGCCAACAATGCTGCACATGCTCTAGCTCGGTGGGGGACTAGTAATGCAATTCACACGAACACTTGGCAGTGTGGGATCTACCAGAAACAGTGAGAGAGACTACTGCCAGAGAATCCTTGCCTAAGCCGGGCCAAGGATAGGAGTACGGCATAAAATTTAGGATTAATCTCAGTATCTTGAAAGGTTGTTTGAATTTTAATTTATACTTTTAAAAATTAAAAATCTTAATTTGTACTCTTAAAAATAGAAATTTATATCAATGTGCACTTTAAGCTAACAACCATCAGTTTCCCATCTAAAATTAGATAGATAAATTACACCTAGACCCTTCATGCTTGTCACTTAATTATCTAGACTTCTCATATTTGAAATATTACACTTACATCTCTTAAAAACTCAAATATGACTAAAAATATTCCCTCAATTAGGCATTCAAATAATTCTGTTAAAGTGATGTATTACATTGGATATAAGAACATTATATAAATACATGCATTATATTTGACATTCAAATGGTAAGCTTGATTTTGAACTTTTGTGTATAACGGACCCACAAAATAAAGGATAGTATGAAATTATAATTTTTTATTATGATGAAATCATATTTTTTAACTGTTATATTAACATACTAGTTATTGTCTGTACCTGAAGGCACATTGTAATAAAAAATGGTAAACAATAAATATATTTCTATTTATATTCAAAATCAAATCACAAACATAAAGAAAAGATAAAAGAATTTAAGTATCGGTTTGTAGTGAGGGTGAGAGGTGGTGGGCGACAGTGATGATGTTAGGAGAAGGTGATAGTTGTGGCGGATGACAATGTCCGTGGTGACGGTGGTGATGGCGGTGATGGTGGTGGCGGAGGTGGGGGAGATGGTGGCAGCGATGGCAGCGACAGTAGTGGTGGTGGCAATATTGGCGACGGTGGTGGTGGTGGTGACGACTGCAGTGGCGATAATGGCAACGGCGACAGTAGAGGGTGGGGGTGGTGGTGGTTTCAAACACTATTATTTTTTTTAAAATATTTATGAAAAATAATTTTTAGAAGTATTTTTAAAAAATTAATCCAAATACACCCTTAGAGGCCTATTTTTTCTATTAAATTTAGGGTGTTAATATTAGCCGTTAGATTAACTTTAAAATAAAATTAAAGCGATGTAACCGCGAATAACAAAAGTCATTTTGTTTATCTTTTAAAATTTGAATTGTGTGTTACAAGTGCACAAATGTTAAGAGGTGTATGAGTAATATTCTAAATGTGAATGAGTCCAAATGATTAAGTGATAAACATGAGGGGATTTAGGTATAATTTATTTATTTAGTTTTAGATGGTAAACTAACGACCGTTAATTTCATGTGCGTATTGATACAAATTTTTATCTTTATTTTTCAGGTGTTTTTTCTTCTATTAGCTATCCGTTATATTTTTTTTCCTTGCACTCATTTTCCACAAGCCAAAAAAAATACTAAAAATAAATTTTTACTTCCATAAAATGTCAGGTTGTGTCAAGAAATTATCAGAGTAATACTTTTGAAACTTAAAAAAATAATCTAATTTAATGATTTAATAAGAGCATCTTCAATTATGATTCAATTTTTTACTCAAATTTAAGTTATTATTTGAGTAAAAAGTTTGATTTGATGCAAAAGACTCCAATGGACATATTCAAATTTAAAGAAAGAAAAACTTAAATTTAAATGAGGGTAAACTTAAAATTAAATGAGAGTAAAAATGACCATTGAATCTTTAAAAGAGGTTGAAATCTCACCATTAAAGATTTGGGTAAGGATTTGAATTTTCCTTATTTGAGTAAAAAAAAAGAGTCTTCCTTAATTTAGTATAAGTTTGAGTAAGAGTTTGAGCAAATTTTTAAATTTTTTTTACTCAAATTTAAATTTGAGTCTAAATTAGAGATACCCTAATATAGCACTGATGTGGTCCAATAGAATTGTTGTTATGGTAACTGTTGAATTTTTTCATCAAGGCCGGCCCAACGGTGTAACTGAAAAAGCAGTTTAGGTCCAAACTACAAAGAAGGTCCCATATTTTCTAATGTATAGTGTAATCAAACCTAAGTTTCTAAATACGCGACAATATAAACTCCACAAAAAACCTCAATAAAATGTACATCTTACAATAGTTGATCTAAAAAATACAGCACACACATTTTGTTGCAACCATCAAAACTCAATGTAGTAAAACAAAGACAGTAAAAGCAAAACTCTCTCTCTCTCTCACACACACGCTCACTCTCTTACATCTCCAATTAAATTCAAACAAAACTCTCATTCTCTCATACACATAACTTTTCATCTTAAATCATACACCAAATTAAACCCAGATAATATAACTTACTTAATTTTGTAAACTTTGATCAAGAAAGAACTAAAATATCAAATTCTAATGTTGCAAATAATCGTGACAAATCAAACATTATTGTTTTTATATTTTTTATAATTTTAAGCTCATGTTATATTCCATAATTATAGATACCATATGGTTATTAAGAACTAATTTAATTTTTTTTGAACTAATTTGTTGATTATGTATTATAAATATGGCAACTCGAAAATAATTATCTGGATATAAAAAATCTTTCTAAAAAATGAGAAAATTTTAATATAATTGAATCTCAAAAATAATCTCTTTATTTTTGCTACCAAACAAACGTGATAGAAATATAAGTTAAAGTTCTACAAATAAACAACTAATAGATCTCAATGAATAAGAAAATAATACAAAAAAATATTCACAATTAGAGTTAAACATGCAAAATATACAAAAAAAAAATGAGAAAATATTAGTAACAAAAATTTTAAAATTAATAAAGTTTAACTTAAAGTCGATCATATCACAAGAAAGGATAAGAGAATGTCGCTATACAGACAATTGAAAAAAGTTTAATTTACAAATGTCGCTTTAAGTCTCAAATTTTTTTAAATCGCCCCTATTTTTCATTAAAACTCTGTCACTTATCACATCATTATATCAACAAATTAAGTTAATTTTTTTCCTTTCTTTTATTCACCCGGTTGGAGTATGTATCTCGGCGGTGTATCTCATCTCTAATCAACTTCTCCCTCATTTAATGAAACTCACCTACTCGTTTTACTTTCTTGACAAGTGCATGTGTGTGTATTATGGGTATAGCTACAGGTGGTCCATGAGACCATCTTATTAATAAATTGACAAGTACATGATAAGTGAATTAAATAGTGTCTTGTTAAACTCTGTTCATCACCGGCTGCAAAACATAAAGCTCGCTCTTACAATGACCAATTGCGATGTTTGTTATGTATCGGAGTGAATGTACATCATTTTGGCTAATCTCGAAAATAATTATGTGCTTTGATGCATCATGATGCTGAAGTTTTTAATCTAAAGGTTGGCATCCGGTTGTGGTCCGGCATGTTGATTGGTCATTTGTCAGGACATGGAAATGGGCAGGTTAACGGGTAGGCCATTGGGCTAGCCCAGGGGGGCCTTTAGCAGGCTATTCAGTGGGTTGTCTTTAGTGGGCTTTGGCTGTGGTCACTGTAATCATGTAATTATTACCGTAAATGGGTAGCTGTTTACTTTCGTAGAATTTTAACATTAATTGTGAATGTTATTGTGATTGTGTTGCCATTAGGCCCATTACTGCACTCGTATTGCTATCTATACTCTAGCCCTATCATTTTTCATATTACCTCCATTATCAGCCATTGCTCATTATACGCCACCCACATGCAGTGGCAGATTTAGCCCCCACTGAAATTTTAAAAAATTTTGAGATCTATGTATGATTTTAAAATTTTCTTAAATTTGTCCCCGCTGAAATTTTTATAAAGTATAAAGTATATTAATATAATTTTCAACCCTTAAAAGTTAACTATTGCCAGGTCCTCCTCATTTTTCACGCCTGGCAGCTGTCCCCAATGAAATTTTTAAAAAAACTTGGACCTAAGTGTAATTTTAAAATTTTCAAGAATTTCTTAAACTTATCCCACTTAAATTTTCTTAAAGTATAAGGTTAATTAATATAATTTTAAACCCTCCTAACTTTTGGTAGCTATTTTTCACGCCTGTTTTTCTTTTTTCAGTAAGCCTTCGTCTTTTTCGTCCAGACTTCCAGTCCAGTCCAGCTAACAGCCCCTCTTCTTTCTTTTATTTAGTTTCTTTGTTAGTTTATTTGGTGCATTCATCAATAAATCAATCTATTAGATTCAATCATTGTGCAAATCAAATTTAAAAAAATTCTAGGAGATTATGTTGAAGTTAAGGAGAGATAATCCATTAACCAAATTTTTTGATAATAGTATTAGCACTAATCTAAAATCAAAATTTTTATATTAGAAAATTAGTTTAACTCTTGTAAAATTGATGGTTGTTTGGTGTATTATTTATGGACTTATGTAGGTTTTCTTTGTTTCGTCTTGGGTCTCCACTCAATTATTTTGAATTTTTGTTAAAATCCATGTTCAAGTTGGTTACCTGAGATTCTTGGTTAATGCTATTTTTCTTCCCTATGATTAAATTGTTTTAATTGATTTCTTGAAATTCTAGTTTGAGTTATATTTTAGATTTATGGATTATATTTTGATTATGTGTAGTCCATTATCTTATTTGTTACGAATTTAATGACGAACTCTTAAACTTGAATCTAATTAGACAAATTTATTTTTCAATCAGTTGTGGATAGGTTGCCCCCACTGAAGCAAATCCTGGCTCCGCCCCCTGCCCACATGGGCATTGTTGTTACTGTGATCATGTTATTGAAAGTGGCTACTACTTGCTACTGTATCACTGTTACTGTTATTTTATCGCTATTATGATATATACAATCATTTGAATTTTACAAAACTGATATCAATTCATTTTCCATTTATCCATTTGAACAAAAAGTTTTTCTTTTTCAATATTACAGTTTTCTTTGAAGAAGTTTTCCGTTTTACATAACATGCAGTTTTTTTCTTTGGTAGTAAGGTTCAGCTTCTTCTTCATAATTTTAGAGTTTTGTTTTTTTTTTTTAAATGAATTGAATTATTTTTGAAAACAATATAACAACATAGAAATCAATGTGACAAGTTACTCAAAAATTTGTTATTTAAAGATCACAAAATTTAACAATATTAAATTTTGAAAATCATGAGGATAGTGGAGAATAGTTGGCACGATTCAAGGAGACGTCTTTTGGGTTTTCACAACCGATTTATGATGCTTCAATGAGTGTTGTTAGAGGGTATTACAGTCATTTTAATTCAAAGTTGATTTTTATCCATTTTTTTTTAAATGCATTTTTATTCTAATAAAGTTTTATAAAGTGTACTGGCTTCGGGCACACTTTATAAAGTTTTTAATGCTGACATCGGGCAGGACTGGGTCACCAGCCGAATAGCTTAGGCCCACCTGTGGTCCGGGATATTGATGGGCTTAAATGACCCATCAATAAGTTATTTTGTTATTTAGATGAAATATCTGTTTTTTGAGAACTGTAAGATCATAATGTGGGGGTGCCGGGTGCAGCACTTATAATTACAATAAATAAAAAAAAAAAAATTTGAAGTTGGGAATCAAAAATCACTTTCATATGATCTTTTCATCAAACTTCTTGACTTTTGGAATATTAGTTGTTCAATTCAACTCATCGTTATGTTGTACAAGTTACTTGGGAGCAAAGTATTTTTGTAGAGAAGTAGTGAATGGAGTGTTTAATGATTTGTTTGGTTCGATGATAAAAAAGTAAAATGATGAAAAAATCCAAGGATGCAAAGATAGACAAAGCATCATATTTGACCAAATTTCAATATCATCGAATAGGATGTGAATTCAGAATTCTGATTAAAAAGAATGTGCGACATTAGCATCCTCGGCATTTTCCTTTGTTTTGATTGTTAGTCCCATCATACATTAGCACGCAATGTCAATTGAGAATATTGCAACTAGTCATTCAAATTTCTTATGTCTATTATTGCTAATATGGATGAAATATAGATATCGTTTCGTACTGATTTTGAAATTATTCTTTTATTTTTAAATGGCTTTAAATGAAGTAAGAATACAACAAAACTATTTATTGTAATACACTGAACTTGTAGCTTGAGATTGATTACAGTGGTTCATGAGATATCCACCTTTTGAACATAGCGAAACATTCTTGGGGTTTGTACTCCGGAGCTGTGTGGCCTCCTCCCTGTGAGAAGAATGCGTCAGTTTTCACAAAAAGGAGCCAAAAGGGGAAAAATAATCTTAGCTTTCTCAAACGTAAAAACAGAAATGGTTTCTTGCCTTCACTGTTGCAAATGTCATCTTATTGGAGTAAACCCTCGTATAGCTGCACATCAACAATGATGAAATTTTCAATACTCAGCTATTCTAAAAACATAATCTCATAAAATATAGTTCAACAACGTATGAGATTTTTGTCTTTGAGGGTGACAAGTTATGCATAGTTTTTACTCGTGAATAAACTATTTTTGTAACTCAAACTTCCATCGCTCAAATTACAATATAATAACCTTATCACAGCACTAAAATTCACCAATCAATCATGAGATATATCAAAATGTTTTTTTTTGAATACCCACCCAGCAATTTGGCCATTGAATAACCAAGATCGCCATTCTTCAATAACTGGATAGTTTAAAGATTTTATCCATGCTTCTGTGGACTGGAATGGAATAATCATATCGTGGTCACCGCTGTGTCAACAAACAAAAATTTCACCATATATAATTATCTACATGTGTGTGTATCTCAACTTAATAAGGCAACTTTGTTTTTTCTTTCTAAACTTATGGATAAAATATAACACAAATCTTATTGAATAAAGTATAGTAATATGACCTGTATATCAAAGACCGATAACCTTTCCTACTGAGGTTTATGTGATAAGGTATACTGTTCCAGATTAGAGTCTCTTCATAAGGTAAATTAGAGGCGCATCTCTCCCATTCCCCTATGCTCCCCTGTGTAAAAGAATTTTACAGTTCATTTTTTTGTTATTCTGACACTAAATATGATCTTCAAAAGCAATAATATGGGCATACCTTTCGGATATGGAGTGCTTCTTGGACATTTTTGTCATTACACCAATAATAAGAAAGCTTATATCCATCAATCTACAACCACGGAAGATATATTTGTAAAACAATTGAAGAAGCCATTACATTATTTTCATGAAATAATCCACAGTAACCTCTTCAAGTCTCGGAGTGATGGGAGTCCCGTATACTAGGGTTGAGAGAAATAAAGTTAATAAGTCGGTAGTAAATAGGTAGCTATTTGGTCCAATATTTTGAGGTTCCCTTCAAACGAGTCTAGTCCTCAAGTGAGGTGTTCCAATTACAGACATGTTCTCTCGATATTTAAATGTAACATCAGAACTAAATGATAGATACAATTGGATATACTTATTTTAATCCCCCAAACAAAAGATAAAAGACACATACAGAGAAGAATTATGGGCATAAGTCAAAATAATTCTTCATATCTCAATGGCAGCCATGGTTAGAATATTAACTTGCAACTTTCAAATGCCTCATAAAATGAATTGATCCAATTCAAATGTCTTAAACTCCAACAAGAGCAATTCAACAAACTTTGCAATTATTTTTCAAATTGGCTTAGGCTAAATGTGCATTCCTCGCTCATCAATATGTTCATGCAAGTATATGTTCAGAGGATTTGTGAAGACTTACACGACAGTAAAATGCGGAAACTGATGATTGAGGAGTCTGGAGCTCTGTGATTCTCTCATCAAGAGATCTCCTCCTACCAAACCATTTGAGTGGCCTTGGGGAAGCAAAACCACAGTTGGGTTCTAAAATATGTGCAGTTTCAAGTCCACTGGTACACTGTAAATGTGCTTAATAAAGTTTAGATCAACAAGGTGATTACTCTGAAAGTAATGACAGGGTTTGCAAAAACAAAAATAGAAGCCAACCTGATTAAAAGCTTCAACAAATTGTAGACACTTTGTATTGCTTGGATCTACATTAAAATAATTTCCTCTACAACTCCTCTTAAGTGACTGTTGAAAAGAAAAAAAAACATAGACCATTCAATTTCATAGACAATGAAATTAACATTCTTACACAATCTATGAGATAGTTTTGAGCAAGGGAAAGGATTTTTTGATTCGAACTAACCTCGTAGAGTTCATCCGAAATAAGTCCCATGCCATGAGCAAATGGGATCTTAAAATTGTCTTCAGCCGGAAAAGTTCCAGCATTTCCAAGTATGTATCCCTGAAACCATTTCACAAAAAGACTACTAAGCAATTTCGGGCATCATTAAGTGAAAAATATATTAAAAAACTAGTTTCTCAAAATAAAAAAGGATTTCAAGAATAGAAAACCTGGAGATTAACAAATGGTTCAATGCCTGCTTCATTTCCTGCATAGCAACAAGGTTATGGTTTACCAAACATGAAGTGGAGTAATATTTCAAACACCACTCTGAATTACCTTACCATTAGAAATCAGTTGAGCAATAATTGGAACAGTTATTCCTGTGTATGATTCTCCCCCAATATATAATGTGTTTGAAAAATACTCAGGATGATCAATCAGCCACTACAAAATAATAAGTTGTTATTTAGTTAAGAATTACTCCATAAAAATCAGATTTTGTTTTGAAGTTGTTTTCCCTTACTGCACTTGTTTTATTTATAGGCACAAGTAGGAGGATTTACATGGATAAATATATCAAGACCTCAATCCTTCATTTCTATAACTGCTAAGAAACAGTAAATTTGAACCATATTAAAGGAACAGTTCGCAAAGTACCCTTCTTAGAAATTCATAGGCCTGGTGACATGATTGAATGTCTGTAGACTGAGAAGCAAGTGGAGTCCTTCCATAGGAGAATCCAGTACCAACGGGCAAATCTACAAAAATTATGCTCGCCACCTGAGGATTTCATTGTGACCAAAAAAAAAAAAAACACTGACGATTTAATTGCCATGGACCATCCAAATTCAAATCAGTTGCTATGAGAACGAATGCTTAAAAACACCCTATCCGGTACGAAAGGCTCTCGTCCATGGTGGAGTTTAAGAGATTAATACTAAGATGTCTTTCCCATTCTCGAAAGGCCGATAATCCTCTACTAATCAAAGCAATTTGTTTCGAGCACCTTAACTATAAACTTTATTTTATATTATCCCCAAAACTATTATTTGCACTTACCACTATAGTTCTTAGGTTTGGATTGTTCGATAGTGAACGTTCCTTACAATTTGGCCAGGCAATTGTGTCACTTTACTTCTTCGCAAATTTCAATGACACGTGGACATTTATCGGGAAAAAAATACAAGACTTTTAGTATTTAGGTAGTGTAACATTAATTTAGGACAATTTGAAAAACTTAATAGTTGAGATCAAGTCCATAATTAACAAAGGATTCAAAGTGTAATTCGCCATGACATGCATAAGACTTTACCTTCGTCCATGAGTTTGCATTTAACACCAATGTGGGCAAGCTCCCATTATACTCCACTGCCTCGAAATACAGGGGACCTACATAGTCAGATTAATAAATAATCAGTTCAAAAAAAAGATTAATAAATAACCTTATCAAATCATATCAACTACTCTATTCCATGCGAAAATATTCATCATAACGGTTACACCATTCAGTATTATCATGTGATTCAATGATAACTCTACAATTGAGCAAAATAGACGTCATTCTTACATAGTTCAAAACAACATAACACAATTTTTGGTCTAATTTGTAGTCGGAATACATCCCGTCTTTTCACCTTAGTAGTCCTATGCATAGTCAATACTATAGATAGAGATAGAATACGAGAAACACGACACAATGTCCACAATGTGAGATAAAAACATAATTGGAGGGTCAAAGTACAATTTCCAAAGATAAATCAGTCCCATCCTTGGATGAATATAAGTTTCTTTGTAAAATGTCCTATTTTATGAGGTTACTTAAGAAAATTACCTATTTCGTAGATGAATCCACTTAAAGCAGAGCAGCCGGGGCCTCCATTGAGCCAAAAAATGAGAGGGTCCTCTTTAGGATTTGTCTCCGACTTCACAAAGTAGTAGAAGAGTTGTACATCTTCAGATTCGTCCACTCCTACATACCTGATACCAAGGGCGGAGTCAAGAATTTATATGTGAGTGGGCACTACTACGAGTTTTAATTTTTGACTCCTAAAAATTACAGTTTTGATCGTGAACAATCCAAATTTTAGTCAAAAAACAATCAAATTATTTTTTTGCCCATATTAAAATATAACATGACAAGTTTATGATAAAAAAAAATTATTAACAATTTTAATGTTGTTTGCTTAAAGGAACATATAAAAACATATTTAATATTTTCAGAGATTAAAATGATGCAATGAAAAATATTAGGGATCAAAATGAGATAAAACTCATGTTTTGAGAACCTCAAATGCAATTAACCCATCAAAATTATATGTTTATATATTAGTCATATCTCGTGCTTGGAGGTACGATGAAACATAAAATTCCAGCGTTTAAAAAATTGATTCCACTATACTGAATAACAATTATTTATTTATTTTTTTCTTTGATTACATCATTTAAAATTAATTTCTACCTATTATTTTTTAAAAGATAGTTTCAAATTTTTTTCAAAATACATAACTCGACAATATTTTTTCAATATGTGTACATTATGAATAATGCATGAAATAAAATTTGTGTTAAATTATATTAAATGATTGAATATATAATAGAAGTAGATGATGTGATTTTTTTGGAAAGAAAATGTGTTTAGAATAAAATTTCAAACACCTAACTAATATATATATATATATATATATTTATTTATTTATTTATATTTAATAGCGAGATCATAGAAGATTCTCACCAAAGCCACTTGTAGGTATTTTTCACATTAACCATTAGATCGAGATCCAACGGTTACTAGTTAAAGAAGATCAAAATTAAATGAAAATACTTACCAAGTTAAGCTATTAACTAAAAAAAAATTTCAATGTGAAATTGATTACAATTTTTATCATAGTAAGAAAGTATATTTAATTTTTTTAAATCAAAATCTTTTCAAACGGGTTAACTCCTTGACTAGAACTGGTTTATACCAATTGTTGCAACTCATCTAAGATTAATTTCTTTAATCCATATGAAAATAAATTAACTCTGCTAATTATGCATGAAAATATTTGATTTAAAAAGGTTAATTTAGTTTCCTTATACGATAAAGATTGTAATTAATATCACAATGAAATTTCCTTTTTAGTTAGTTAATTGCTTAACTTGGTAAGTTTTTTCAAAGTAACCGTTGGATTATGATCTAACGGTTCATGTGAAAAATATCAACAATAGGAAAAACTGAATCAAAAATGGGTCAATTGAGCCCGAAAGTCGGTGCTGACCGTTAGGTAGGAGCTCTGAGGAGCAACGATTGCAACTCTTAAGTTGATAGGAAAAATGAAATACCGGAAGAAGAAGACTTCAACTATTCCAATAAAAAGGAACAATTCAAATGCTTCATAGATGAGTCGACGCCTATAAGGGAAAAAAAATGAAAAAATAGACACTGCTCATAAAAAAAATTCACAAAATTATTACCTTGATCGATGAAAAAATTACTGCATAGAAACTGAGAAGCAACACAGGAAAGAAATAGGAAGTCCTTCTGAGCCTGACTCACCCGGTTTCGAGTTGAAAAGGAAGGGGTCCTTGAAATCCTGGAAGAAACTCCACTCTTGAGTGAGAAACTGCAGGCTCCGAGTATGAACAGACTTGTAAAATCTGAATAACCAAAAACAGAGTGCAGAAAATTGAAGTTTGGTCGGCTGCCTTTGAATGTGATAATGCCATTTTCTTTGTCATGGTGTGTGTGTTTAATGGAACAGTGTATGGAGAGTATGTATGTGTGAAGAGACGTATAAGGACCGGCTGATCTCGATTGGCACGCCAAAAATTATTTAAATTTTAATTTATACCTTAAAAGTTTAAAAATATTAATTTAAACCCTAAAAGACATAAATTTATATTAATGTGTACCTAGAACTAATTCCGTCTATTTTGCCAATAAAAAATTTTGAACTAATTATAAATTTTACCCTTCAAAATTTAAATATTTCACATATATGATCCAAAAAACAATTTCTTCCATTAATAGTCGTTAAATAGTTTTCAATTGTATTATATCATAATATTTTCGTGTCGTGTTCAAATAAAAATACTTATTTTTTGCTTAAAATACTCGTTAAATAGTTATTTTATGTCTACAGTTAGACAAAAAATTTTGATTATTCAATCAAATTAAAGTTAAATACGAATAATACAACTGTAAATAGAAAATAGTTATTTAACAAATATTATAGGCTAAAAAATAGGTATATTTTAATTTAAAAAAATATTAAATAGTATTCTATGAATTGTCTTTCATTTTAAGTGTATATTGATATGTATTTATATCTTTCAGAGTATAAATTAATATTTTTAAATTTTAAAGATACAAATTAATATTTGACTAATCTTTCAGGTTACAAGTTGAAATTAAGCATATAATAATAATTGATGCGAAACTTACCGTAAATTTTGGACTAACCTCCTCGGCTTCTTGACTTATAGGTGAACTATCCAACTAAATATCCAAGACAGACCAAATAAACAAAAGAGATGAACTATCCAACTAAAGAGCATACCCATCCTAATTGGTCCGGGTGGATCACTTACTTGGGCCAACCATAAAGGGTCTGACTTCTCTATTGTTAATTTTTAATAATTGAGATGTTGTTGAATAAAATAATGTCATTTTATTTTGAAGTTAGGGGTGCAATTCGAACGGGTTGGATAATTAATCTTAGTTTAATCTTAAGTGTATAATCTTCAATCCTAATCTTAACCTTAACCTTACCTCGGGTTGGAGAACTCAACCCGAGCACTACCCGAGTTTAATTCGGGCGGGCTCGGGTTACTGATTTTGGGTTATTTTATGGGTTTAATTCGGGTTCAATTCAGGTAGAGCCAAAAATAGATTTGTTGTTCTAAATCTAATACATATATTACATAATATTCACCTAAATTAACAACCAATAATTTCAACCAAGTTTTTAACGAAAAAGACTGAGAGAACGAGAGAGGCAAAGGGAACGAGAGAGACAGAGAACGATATAACAAAAATAAAAAATAGTATTAATGCTTTATATATATATATATATAATTTTTTTTTTAATTTGTCGAGTTCGGGTTGAAGTTGGGTTCACGAGGCCTTAACCCAAACTCAACCCAAATTGAATTCGAAATGAGAATTTTTTGACCCAAGTCGTAATTTTTTTGGGTTAGGCTTGGGTTAAAATCGGGCTGCTCAACTCAAGTTGCAGCCCCAAATGAAACGACATTGTTTTATTTAACAAAATAACTTTATTTTGATATAAAATGATATTATTTTAATCAACTCCACCTCTGCCGTTAACAACAGCCCAACCCCCTAAAGTCAGGGTTTGAACAGATTGTACAAATTTTTTTTTTGGAACCGAAGAGATTGTAAAGTTGCATGTACAAAAAAGGACCAACATAAAAGAAGGGAAAAAAATGAATCCATACACAAGGGTTTCTAAGGCTCAATCTACTAAGCTGAGAAAAAAAAACCATGAAAAAGCAGAAAATAATCGAATCTATTTGAACACTAACATTCTGTAACATTGGAATTTCTTCTACGGAATCAATAAGGTACACAGTTAATGAAAGTCATTGATTACACACTATGGTTTCAAAATTCAGTGATCTGACCGCTGCGATTTTTCTCTGTTCACTATACCCTACAATTGCAACCCGGGTTCACCCCGATGCAACCTTGTCTGGACTATACATGGTCTTTGTATTGAGTCATCTTGCAAACTGTATTCCCAAGATATATTGTTCAACTTGAATCAACTGCCATTTCATTGTCCGGGGGCGCCGGAATCACAGCAATCTTCTCCATTTTCATTGTCATCTCTTCATTTATATACATTTATAAATATTACTATACATGTAATTAAGATTAGAGAAATGGGATCAAGTTCGGAAAAAAAGAAAGATAAAAATAAATATTCAGTAAAAATTTAATTTAATAAAAAAGTACTAAAAAATCTTACTTTATTCTTAAGGCCTCAAAATTATGGACCGACAAAGTTTTTTTTTTATCTCGAAAAAGATTGCTCCTTCTGTTTTTTTTTTTGTTCAATGGTCAATGATGTCTGGACTAATTTGTGCGTACTTCGATTAATTTTCTTCTCAGTCCAGTTAAAGACAGATCATCCATATTGAGACTAGTGCATTCATGAACGATAATTTTCTTATAACTTGACCCCAAAAAATTATCAAATTTTAAACTCAAGTCAGAATTTACAGTTCGTCTCTATTACCAATTGAACTATACATTGGGATTACAAAAATCGTTCTTTTCACAAAATAAGAGCAAAATCCCACTCTTTTTCTCTTAATTAAACTAAATAAGAATAGGTTGCCACTTGTCACCTTTGATGATAAAAACAATAACAACATTTTGGATAAATAATGTTATTTGAATATAATTATCGTAATTATAAAATTAATAGTCAATTATTATAAATATTGACGTTCACTGTCAATCTAATGATAATGATTAATTAGGCCAACAATTCCTCTAAGATTTTAAATGAGAGTCCAAAGAGAATCTAACTGATTATGAATGGACCTAAATCATAACTCAATTTTTATTAATTGGGAGAGCAACATATTAGATCCCAAGTCATTCCATCAGAATTAAGGGTGTATATGTCAATTGAGACGAGCTATTAGGATTTGGGTCGGATAATATTTGGCTTGAGTTATGTTCTAAATGAACTTAACTTGAATAGTTTTGTAAACTTGTTTAAAAAAAATAGCATTTAAGATTCGGCTCAAATTCGAAAAACTTGACTTGTTTATATGTAAAATAGTCGATCTACTTGAGTTCGGCTTGATTTTTAAACTAGCCGAATTTGAACAATTTTTTAAACTCGTTTAAAAAACCGAGCTCGTGTTTTAAACAAGCTGAACTTGAATAATTTTTTAGGTTCGACTTTACATTAAAAACTTGACTCGTTTATATATAAAATAGTTGAACTACTAAGACTCGCCTCAATTTCTAAACAAAGCCAACTTTGAATAATTTTTTAAACCATTTTAGTGAAACGAGCTTGCCTTGATTGACACCCTAAATCAGAACGAACATATATGTGGTTAGGCATGTCAATCATGCAGGATGAGGCGGATTTGTACCGGATTTTAGTAGATTCGTGTGTGATTGTGCTATTATAACAATAATTATAGAGGGCATCAACGTAAAATAAATCTTGAAGCATGGTTGGGCCCAAAACCAGAAAGAAAAATTTTGGTGGGCAGAAGTCACGGCCTTTCCCTCTCATTTTCCTCCTCCTCCCATTTTCCAGTTAAACCAAACAATGGAAAATCACCATTTCCAATTTTCCATTCAATTTGCACTGCCAATCTCCAGCCCTTGCTCTTTTTTAAACCAAAATTTAAATTTGGATAAAAAATTTCATAAAAACCTTTTCCAATGTTATATTCAATTTTTAACTCAAATCGAGAAATTCAAACATTTACTTAAATCACCAATAATTAGATTTCCTTTAAAGATCTAATGTTTATATTTTATCATTTTTTAAATTTGGATTTGTCTTCATTTAAATTTGAATTTATTCTCTTTTATTTTGAGTTTCTCCATTTGAGTGTTTTCTATTAAATTAAGCTTTTTACTTCAATATTGACCCAAATTTAGATAAAAATTTGAGTCAATGTTAGAGATGTTCTAAATGCACTTACTAAAACCCAATTGATCAATTGACTTTAGATTTATCTAACTTCCTAGGTTTTATGTTTTATTGATAGTGGTCCTTTATAGGCAAGTCTGGGAACCTAAAACCTCAATTGTTGTATCAATTGGTTGAGCCAGAACCATCTCATTAATTTGGGGAGTAGCATTTCTCCAATTCCACAACAATTGTCAATGTTAAATTGATACAGCTACTTTCCTTACTGAGTTTTAAAAGTACAACAATCCTATAACCGAGAGCTAGAAGATCATGGGCTTTTTCTTTACACCCTATTTGACTGAGGAAAGTGCATCTTTTCAGCCATTATGGTACCATAATGACATTCTCAATCAAGAATGGGTTACGCATTCAACCATCGTGTCTTTTTATGAACAAGGGAACCTATTAATTATATGGCCACCCGAAAAAAAAAGAACCCAAGAAACGTGTCGAAATGACTGAAGGGTCAAAAATAGTCAATACGCTCATATCTCGTATTGCACAGAACGTACTACCTATTTGATAACAATGTCCTCGATCAAGAGATTAATCTTAAATGAGTGATTTTCTCAGTTCTCAACGTTCCGCAGAAGTTGAACCGGAGTGTATCTGGAATAAATTCTTGGGTGATACATTTGTTTTAATGATTGTGTCGTTTAAGTTAAATCAAGAAGTAAATGCTCCCGTTGGCAGTGAACTATATAATTTGTTTTCAATTGTCAAGTGGTAGTTGATGGGATTGAAATTCTGATTCTCTTTTGCAGGCACATTACAGCTTATATGTCATCCCTTGTAGAATCTCTTGGAGAAATTGGGTATGTTGATGGCAAAACCCTCTTTGGAGCCCCCTACGATTTTCGTTATGGCTTAGCAGCAGCAGGTCACCCCTCTCAAGTTGGTTCGAAGTTCCTTCAAGATCTGAAAAGTCTAATAGAAGAAGCAAGCACTTCTAATGGTGACAAGCCAGTAATACTTCTCTCCCACAGCTTAGGAGGCCTATTTGTCCTTCAACTGCTTAACCGAAACCCGCTTCCCTGGCGCCAAAAGTATATCAAACACTTTATTGCATTGTCCGCGCCATGGGGTGGCACAGTCCAGGAAATGCTCACTTTTGCTTCGGGAAATTCCCTCGGAGTACCCTTAGTTGATCCATTGTTAGTAAGAGCAGAGCAAAGGAGTTCTGAAAGTAAATTATGGCTCATGCCCTCTCCTAAACTATTTGGTCATAAACCACTTGCTGTCACACCAAATGTTACATATTCAGCATATGATATTCCCCAGTTTCTTGAAGCTATTGGCTTCCACGAAGGAGTCCAGCCTTATAAATCTCGAATTTTGCCTTTGATGGAACATCTACTAACTCCCGAAGTGCCTATTACATGTATAATTGGGAGTCGCGTTAGGACGCCAGAGAGTTTGTTTTATGGGGAGTGCGGGTTTGATAAGCTGCCGGAGATAGTGTGTGATTGTGCTATTTGGTCTTTCTTTTGAAATTTGTGCATATGAAATAATTTAATAAAAAAGTACTAAAAAATGTTACCTTATCCTTAAGGCCTCACAATTATGGACTGACAAAGGTTTTTTTAATCTCGAAAAAGATTGCTCTTTCCCTTGTTTTTGGTTCAATGGTCAATGATGTTTAAATTAATTTATGTGTATTTCGATTAATTTTCTCCTCATTCTAATTAAAGACAAGTCATCCATGTCGAGACTAGTATATTTATAAGATATAATTTTCTTATAACTTGACCCTAAAAAATTATCAAAATTCAAATTCAAGTCAGAATTTATAGTTCGTCACTATTACCAATTGAATTACACACTGGAATTAAAAAAATTATTCTTTTCACAAAATAAGAGCAAAATCCCACTCCTTTTCTCTTAATTAAAGTAAATAAGAATATGTTGCCACTTCTCCCCTTTGATGATAAAAGCAATAACAACATTTTGGATAAAAGAATCATATAAACATAAATATGTTAATTGAGATGAGCAATTCGGGTTTGGGTCGGATAATATTTGGCTTGAGCTGAACTTGTGTTCCAAATGAGTTAAGTTTGAATAATTTTTTAAACTTATTTAAAAAAATGAGCATTTAAGGCTCGGCTCAAACTCGAAAAACTTAACTTGTTTATATGTAAAATAGTCAAGCTACTCGGGTTTGACTTGATTTTTAAACTAGTCGAATTTGAACAATTATTTTAACTCGTTTAGAAAAACGAGTTTGGCAGACTCGAACTCAAGCTTGTAAAGCTTGGCTCGAGTTCGTATTCTAAACGAGTTGAACTTGAATAATTTTTTAGACTCGCTCAAGTTTAAAAAACTTGACTTGTTATTATATAAAATAGTTGAGCTACTCAGACTCGTCTCGATTTCTAAACAAGTCGAGTTTGAATAATTTTTTAAACTCGATTAGCGAAACGAGCTTGACAGTCTTGCAAAGCTAGACTTGATTAACACCGGAAAACGAACATATATGTGATTAGACATGTCAATCATGTAGGATGAGGTGGATTTGTATCGAATTTTAGTAAATTCGTGTCAAAAAATATTTCATATATACCTAATTTTGTCATATCGAATTTGTGTCGTGTATAAATTGTGTATAATCGGTATATAAACTAGTCATATCGTGTATTTTTTTTTATTAATTTCACTCATACTTGATTCGTCTATTAATCGTGTCACGTCAACTCGTTTACGAAATGAGTAGCTTAAAGAAGACACAAACTTTTTAAATTTGTATCGTGTTCGTATCGTGTTAACGAATTATGTCCTATTTTCACACCCCAATATGTAGTCCTTAATCACCTCTCTCTCTTTTTCACCCAAAAAATAAGAAAATAAAAAGGAAAGAAAGAAAGTAAGATAAGATTGTAGCAGTGCCTATTGTAATTCACAAACAATATCTAAACAATCCCTCTGACAACCAGGGAAGAAAAATGAAGAGAGGAGACGACGTCCTTACGTCTCAATGTTACACTTGATTTCATAAAGAAGACAACCCCATTCAAACAAAGAAATTGTCTGACCCACAAAAAAAAAAAAACCAAACAAACAAACAAAGAAATTGAGTGAAACATGAAGAAAAGCAAATTTCTCCTTCAAGAAAGTTCCCCAAAAATCCCTTAATTAAGGATATCAAAAGACAACACTTCTCTTTGTGACAGCATAGCTTCTGCTCCTTGGGTACATCAATTCTGTCTTGAAATTAACATTGTCTTCTCCAAAAACACAGGGCTTGTCTTCATCAATTCTACCCATCCCAACACTGCAACTCCGAGGAACACCCCTTGACTCGATAATGTTTGGCTGACTCTTGTGTTGCTGCGTATGCAAATCCATGTTAACTGTATTCCCCAAACTCCTAGTAGATGCAATTCTCATGAGCTCTCTGAAATCTTCACTATCGTTAGACCTCGTCGAGCTAGAACTGAAGCTTCTTGGCATGGCTACCGGTTGGACCGGGCCTCCCATGATGTTGCCATAACCGACTTTGTCAGCACAATCTGTCATCCTTTTTACGTACATGTCCATGGCTTTGTTCAGAACCCTAATGGGTATTGTGATGAACCGCATGAACTTGTTTTGGTGGTGCGCTTTGGCTCTCATCTTGCTGTTGTTTCTTCTTTCTTTCTTTTCTTTTGTAGCAAACTCTTTTGGGAAGAAGAAAATGGAGAAAATGATATGTATGTATGTGTGTGTCTGTGTTTATGATGATTGTGAGAGAAGAATGTAAAAGCTTTGGAAGCTATATAAGAAGAAAGAGACTGTAGAAATATGTACAGGATGCTATCAAAGATTCAAAGGCGTGGTGTGAATTATGGGTTCTTGACTATTGAGGCTATTTATAGAATAAATTAACAACAATATGATTGAATTTGAGTAACAAGTATGAACAAAAGGCAGGTGCGTGTGGACTTCTTCAAAACACGCCAGTCGCCAGATAAGAAAATAGATAGTAGTATAAGGATAAGAAAGGCATGCACAGTCAGTTAAATGCAACCATGGTAGGCCAAAATTGAAATAAGGGGTATTATTATTCAAGACCTTGACTTTTTCCATGGCCATTCTCATCTCATTAATAATCCACTATTGGGATTTGGATTCACTCGACTTAATGTTTTCCAATTTCTCCATAGAGTTTTTGTTGTCAATTTGGCAACTATGGTCAAGTAAAGAAATTTATTAGTAAAAGATTATTACAATGTTTTTAATATTCAATTATATTACAATCATACACTTTAGAGGGCATAAGAAATATCGAAGTTGAGATTTTCTATTTATAAAAGGATAAACTTGACTGTCGAATCACTCTAAGAGTAAACATTCTTTAAACTTGTATGTTATAACGTAATTTGAGAATGTAAGAAATTATATGTTAATCATTTATATCAAGTCCGCAAGACTATATTTACAAAATTTGAACTTGAAGGCTCGAGTTATTAATTTATTATCACTTAAATGTTCATTCATCCCAACTACATATTGGTGATAAAGATTATGTTTTTGAACAAAGTTAGATTTGTCCAAAAATTAAAATAAAAGAGATTTGGCTAGTAGTTCGCTGGATAGAAATGCTGATGTTAAAATAAAAATAAAACTGTAAGGAGAGTGTCAAACAAATTGACCCCACTACAGACAATGGAAACTGCAAGAAATAATTACAGATTAAGACATTTACCGAATTAAATATATTAATAGGAAAATTTTAGCCAAACTTTTTTTAGTTTATTATATCTTCAAACACTTCTTTTTTATTATCAAACAAAAATATCAATCACACTTCTTTTACTTTATATTTAAACATCAATCACTGACACCCTCTTCCATTAAACCACCATTTATAATAAAATAATAGATTATCTAAAATACTAAAATTGCCCCTACATAAACTCCAAATAATCTTTCTACATAAAATTTTATTAAAATTCAAATTTATTAAAATTCATTTTTTTACATATTAAAATTCAACTAAAATTTTGTTGTCTAGATATTAAAATTTAATTCGAGCTGATTAAATTTTTTTTTTTACGTATTAAAATTTGAGTCTATTAAAATTTTTTTACGTACTAAAATTTGAGTCAATTTGAGCTCTACATGAGCTGTTAGCCCCGATTAAAATTTATATTTTTTTATTTATTAAAATTCGATTCAACTTGATTAAAATTTAGTTTTTACATATTAAAATTTGAGTCAATTAAAATTTCTATTTTTTATGTATAAAAAATCAAAACAATTAATATTTAATACGAATTGATTAAAATTTGATTTGAGTCTAGAATAAAATTTTAATTGATTCAAATTTTAATGCCTAAAAAAATATAATTTTTAATTGACTTAAATTTTAATTAGCTCAAATCAAATTTTAATCAACCTGAATTTTAATATGTACAAAAATTTTAAAAATAGAGAAAGTCTCATTGAAAATATGTCTATTTAAAGGAGGTGTAGATGAAGTTCTTCTTAAAATATATTATTGATAATTTAGTTAAATTATATTTTAATTAACACCTTTAATCTAATAGTGGGTGTCATTGAAGATTTAAAAAATAGATGGAACATCTTTTAAAATATGGTAATGGAAGTGCAAGAAATAACGACAGATTAAGACATTTACGAAATTAAATATATAAATTTGACTAAAAGATTTTTCTCCAATGAATAATTAAATCAATAAAATATTAGAAGCAGCCCCCCCATGTATCAACGATCCACAGATTGTAGCAAGCTGAAAATACACTCAAGTCAATCAGGGGCCATCAGCCATGCATGTGGGTCCTGTTACTAGAAAAAAAATAATATAGCAAGTTTGTAGAATTTTTTTTGTTTTTTCGGCCGAGGGGATCATGAATTGGATTGAAAGTCTTTTGATTCGTATTATGTTAAAATTTATTAAACTTATATATATATATATTATATTTTGTGTTTCAATTCATTTATTTAGTAATTATAACAAATTTATTCATTCATCATTCAAATTTGCTATTAATATTAAATCTAAATTAATAATTTAGTGCCGATTTCGTGTTATATTCAGAATTATCATAGCTAGTTAAGATATTGAATTACGATGCACTCCACTACTAAATTCATTCGGTTCCCCTAATTATTAGTCAAGATACACTAAGTGAATTATTCACTTAAATATAACGGATTTCATTTGAATACATGATAGCAGGCCTAATATTGAAGCAATTTAGTAGATGATCAGACATTCATAATTACCATGGTGCTTAATACGCTAAAAAATATTTTTTTTGTTTTTTAGTTTAATGGTCGAGAGTGTTCGAACCAGCTTAAATGGACCTCGACTAATCCCCTTCTTTGATCGGTCGACTAAATTATAAATTTCTTATGATATGACTTCAAAGAATTGCTACCATAACTAAAAAAATTTTGTAGTCATAATTGCACACAACTAAATATTGAACATGAACATAGGACTCGTGGTACTTTTGCTCACCGATCCTCCTTTACTTTGAGAATCATTTGTTATCTTGAATTGCATTTATTTTCTTTTCCTTCTCTTTTTGGTCAGCTTCAATTATACAACATCTCAAAGTCTTGAATTTTTAGCCACGCAAGAGAATTTTGGTTTGTGTAATGCGCGTAATTTATGTGTGATTATTTTTATTCAAAGTTTGCTTTGTAATTATAAATTACAAAATAACAGGTATACCCGAGGGAGACAAAAATTTAAAAAGGGTAAATATCATAATCAGTTTTCAAAATTATCTCGTATTTTAAAATGATCCCTAAATTTTTAATTATTTAAATTTTGTCATTCAACTACCAATTTTCTATCAATATAGTCCGTCCGCCCATTTCACCTCTTAGAGCAAACGAATGCAAGTCTACCTCATGTGTGTCCTTTTGTTCCAACGAATGAAATGGACATAATGAACTTATTGAAAATGAAGTTAATAGTTAAGAAATTAAATTGAGATAATTAAAAGTTCAAGAAATTATTTTAAAATAGTAGGCAAGGTTTAAAGTAAGCAATTCAATACAGATTTGAAAAATTAACTTGATCAATCACTATTATTGATTTAATTGTGGGTCTCAATATTTATTATAATCCACGACTTATTCAATAATTATAATTCATTAAGTTAGTAAATTGTGTCAACTTTTTAAGTACAAATAGTATATCTCTTAAAGAGATTAAGCATCATGTTTATCTTTAAAAAAAAAATAGAAAAAAAAATCGGCAAGTGGGCTCATTATTACAGTACAAGTTTACTATGAAAAGAGGCCCATTCTCAATTTTATGGGCTTATTATTACTGAACAAGTTTACTATGAAATGAGGCCCATTCTAAATATTATGAGTGGGTTTTGAACCCATCATGGCATTTCCCATTCTCTCCGTTCCAAGCCAGAGACGTCACACATTATTCACCACACATTCATGGTATGGAAGTCGACAACACACACAGTCTCTCTCTCTCTCTCACAAAAAGCACTTAACTTTGCCTTGCCAATGACCAATGACGGGTGTGGGGATCAAAATGGCGATGGCCTCAATAGCTATGATGTGGTACACGTGTCAGGCGGACAGCAACCTCCATCCTCTAATTCTGGTGCCTGGAAGTGGCGGGAACCAACTGGAAGCGAGGTTAACCAGAGACTACAAACCCTCAAGCTTCTTCTGCAACCGGTGGAACCCAATTAGTAAGGACAAGAATGGTTGGTTCAGGCTCTGGTTTGACCCAAGCGTCCTCTTAGCCCCATTCACCAAGTGCTTTTGTGAGCGCATGATGCTCTACTATGACCCCGACTTGGATGATTACCGAAATGCCCCTGGTGTTGAGACCAGAGTCCCTCACTTTGGTGGAACCCAAGCTCTGCTCTACCTTGATCCACATCTCAAGTAAGTTCCTATATCCTCTTGGTGCATTGTCATTAGACTCATCACATTTTATGGTTTGGGGTTTGCCACATGATTTGTATTCAGTAAGAGCCTATTTGTTATGGGTAAGTGAATTGTATAATTTTAGAGCAATCACTAGAGCATTGCTATGCTGACTGATTTTTGTATTCCAAATCAGGTAGGTGGTTAGATTAGTGGGTTCATTAACTCCAGAAAGAATCGGATATATAGGATTTTAACACATTATTTAGGCTGTAAGATTTGCTCAACAAATGTTGGCACCACAGTTTTATCTTTTCAATGGTGGGTCTAATCATTTATTTAAATTTAAAGTTAATTTAATAATTATAATGAAATTATATTATTAAATTAGATTAGTAAATTAAGTCAAATTTTTATATTATAATAGAATTTTTCATAATTTTATGGTATCAAAAAATTAATTATTTTTTCATACAAGGGCAGCATACTACTAATTAACAGTGGGGAATCAATTTCCAGCTCATCACTTGTCTCTCAAACTCGACAAAGGAAAAGTTGAGCGCCTTTACTCTGACTAAAGTCTAATACTTTATCGTTTTGACTTCAAAAATAAAACTTTTTTGTTCTTATTTCTTTTACTATACGAAATTTTCTTATTTGCGGTTTGGTAGGAAAGATTGAAAAATTGAAGGAAATAAAACTTTTTTGTGAGTGATACAGTTTCAATCCTCAAAGAAAAAAAATTATATTATTTTTCTTTATTTTTATTGATGAAAAAGTTGATGGGTAAATTTTATATTGTTTGATATTAAAAGAAAAGTGGAGGGCAAAAAAAATTTATATACTGAAAT